TCTTGACCATTCTCGACAATTCTCTTTGTGGTGATTTTTCTACCATTAACGATTTTAGTAGAAGTTGATATAGATTTGAAGTTACCCATCCCACTGCCACCAAATAATGTGGACAAAAATGAAATGAGGCCCCCATGACCTAGGGATCCAAATGAAGTAAATCCTGTATCAAATGAAGAAAATCCACCTCCAAAGGATGGAAATCCACTGAAGGTGGAGAAAAAAGAGCCTGTACCACGGCTTCTGCTTCCTCGGGGACCCCTTTGGTTCCCAAAAACATCTTCAAATGGATCTTCATTACCAAAGGAGTCAAAGGAAAATGGATCCCTTCCACCAAAAAATTCCCTGAAAACATCTTCTGGGTTCCAGAATGTGAACCCAAACTCAAATGGACTGTCAAAGTGACGTCCACCTCCTCCACCACCATTTAATCCTTCTTTACCATATTTGTCATAGATGTCCCATTTTTTAGCATCTGATAACACCTCATATGCCTCAGCCACTTGTTTGAATTTTCGTTCAGCTACTTCTTTATTCTCAGGATTTTTATCTTGGTGCCACTGTAGTGCCAGTTTACAGTATGCTTTCTTGATGTCCTCGGGGGAGGCGTACCTCTGCATGCCTAAAACTTCATAGTAATCCACCATGTTTGAACAGTGCCTGGACAAGTCCGAGGATGCGGACAACCGGCGGCGAAAAGGAGGAGGTGTGCGGCCAGCCCCCTCGCGGCTCTGGGACCATACGCTGGTGGTAACTGCGGAGGCTCCTAGCGCTTTCCTTTTGGCTCTTCCAATGGTCCCTTAAAAAGCCTGATAGTGCCTTGCCAGGTCTGAGTGCTGAAATTGTGGGCTCATCCCTAGATGCTGGTGTCTGTCCTCACTAGGAAATGTGTCCCTCAGCCTGTTGGTTTCTGCAGCAGTAGCAATTTGGAGGTCCTGAAGTAGGAGGCAGGCAATGTTCCAAAGGTTGGAATAGCTGAAGGTTTGCTGATTGCTTCACATTCTCACACCCTGTACCTACTTTCTGTTTTACTGTCGAATTACATTTTTTCACAAAATTTCATGAAACTGACAATAGTGTATACCCATAGGTGAAAGTAGTTTATTATTCTGACCTCTTGAATTTAATTTTCACAGTTACAATTGAGCGACTATTCTTCCTAGTGTAGCACTAGTCTTCCCAGTTGGACCAGCTGTTGTACTTTGGGATTCATTCGCTGTTCAGAGATCAAGCCGGATAGTCTCAACTCCTCCCCTCCAAAAGGCAACACTGTGTCCATCCCCTTAATAGCACAACCCAGCAATTACTACTCTATAATTAATGCCAGAATAGTTGTGGAAAGGTTTAGCACTTAAGTCATAGCAATATGTTGGAGGACATTTTTTTAAGAGTGTTGTAGGGTGAGTGCTTCTTAACACTCTTTGCCCACCACTGATTGCCTCATGACTGCATGAGGCTTTGGGGGACATTTAGACCATAACCAGAGTCAAGTAAAGCACAGTCCTGCTAAGAGCAGTGTTTTTTAAAAACTGCTCAACCTCAGGGTTTTCAGGGCTCTTACTGTTGTTAATTGTGCAGTTTACTGAACATTGTTTATTTTTGTTACAGAATTACAGATGTGTTCATTGCAGTTTGAAAGCTTTTCTTATTTTCCCCTTTCTTCCTTTTCCTCCCTCTTTCCTACCCTCTTTACCCACCCCCTCCCTTCCTTCTTTCCTTTTTTTGTGTACTGGGAATCAAACCACTGGACCTTTACCACTGAGCTATACCCCAAGCCCAAGCCTTAGATTTCCAAAGAAAATGAAGATAGTTGTGAACAGTTTGCTTTAAACTTAGTTACCTAAGTAGGGAGGATGAGTTTAAGCTTCTGGGTATATTTGTAAGGTCATTTGTTTTGTTTTGTTTTAGCCTTTATTTGTTTTGCTTTTGGTTTCTTTTGAGATGGGTTCTCATATAGTATAGGGTGGCCTTGAACTTATATACCCCAAAATGGCCTTGAACTCAGATGCTCCTGCCTCAGCCTCCCAAGAGCTGGGATTATAGGCATGTACCACCACACCCAGCATAAGTTTTGGTTTTTTATGGAGTTTTTTTTTTTTGTTTTACTAGCATGAGTATCAAGTCATAACCATTAAGTATCTAGTTGGGCTGAATGGATTTTAAATTCTCATTCACTTAGATACAATTCCTTTAATCTCACTTGCTTCATAGGCTTTTTTTTTCCCCCTTACACTTGCACAAAAATTTAAGCATGTGTACCATTTGTTTTGAAGGAGTATTTCATGTTCATAAGATAAAAGAGCTAAATTTTGTTCCTCTAAAGAAGACCGCACACGATTCTCTCCATCAGCAATCTAAAATTTGTTGATAAGGTTGTGCGGGGGTCTTCAGAGTGTGTTCTCATTGCTCCCGGGAACATTACTGTTGTGTTCTAGATTGTCAACTTGGTTTCAAGTTATCTTTATCAGTTTGTAAGTTTTTCATAGACTTTCCTTGAATGAATTCAGGTTGAGATGTCTTCCAATAAATATTCCTAACTTAATTGTAAAGTGTTCTGTAAAGTATGTATACATGTATAGTACATACACATATATTCCGATTTTTTTAGGAGCTGTAAGTTACTTATGTAAAATTTATATGGTTTCTATTATTATTTTTTTTTTCTTTTTTCTTTTCGGAACCAGGGATTGAACTCAGGCCCTTGCCCTTGCCAGGGAAGCACTTATTCCACTGAGCTATCTCACCAGCCCCCAGCTTCTATTATTTTTAAAATGAAAATACTGACTTTTTTTAGACTACTGAAATTTTAACATTCCATCTTAAATTTATGTAAAAAGTGAGACAAGTAAATACCTAGCACCGGGTTGTAGTTCAGTGGCATAAACACCTGCACAAGGTCCTGAGTTTGATCCGGTACCCCCCCCAAAAAAAGCCACAATAAATGCCTAGCACACATGGTATCCAGTAGAGTGGTATACTCTTTTTCTTCTCAGGACTGAGTGATTTTTGTCTCATGCTTTGAGAAACCTTGTTAGGATACTTAAGTAGATGTGGCTGCTTGCTTAGTTAAATCCCTCGTCTTCTAAAAGTTTGGACTCATTTACCTATAAGACCTACTTTAAGTATATTAAATACCGCAGCCTGGACCGACAAGATAGCTCAGCAGTCTAAAACGCCTGCTTAGGCAAAGCATAGGGACCACCGTTCAATCTCAGTACTAAATGCCAATCCCTGGCATCACATATCATGCCAGCCTCACCCCTAGGGTGGGCTGAGCCGGCCATTAATAAAAAATATAAATATAAATAAATGCTGCAGCCTGTTTCTCTTCCTACCCATTATATGTGCACGTTTACTCTTAACCTCTTACATACCCTATGTTTCCAATGATTTGTTTATTTCAGGGATACCAGGAATCTAATTTAGTTCTTTCCCCACTTTCCCACTACTCCACTTCACTAGTCAAAATAATAAAAATTGAATTGAAGTCAAGACTTTGCATTTGCAAAGCAGGCGCTGTGCCACTGAGCTAGGTCCCTGGCCCGTGTGCACTATTATGCTTAGTACTATGTCAGCTCCAACATTGTAGGGGGTCCTTATTTTATTCACTGATTTATCCCAGGCATTTGAATGACATGACACATAGTAGGCACTCAGATATTTGTTACTGAATGGGTCCTGTTTCCCATGGAATATAAGAGACATTCAAGAGTTAGGGTTGTGGGTGTAGTGGGATAGGACTATACAGTAATCCTAGAATTCTGGGAGGTTGACACAGAAAGAGCCCAAATTTGAGCACAGCCTAAACCACATAGCAAGACCCTGTCTCATAATTAAACAAAAGAAAGACAGTTATAGCTCAGGGGAAAGCCCTGGGCTTCATCTCCAGTACTGACATACTTACACTAAAAGTTAAAGGAGCGGTTGGGAAGATAGCTCGGCGGTCTAAGTTCCTGCCTGGCAAGTGCAAGGACCCAGGTTTGATCCCTGGTACCACATGCCATGCTTGCCCTGAAACCCCAGGGTGCACCATGCCGGCCACCAAAACTGGGCATGGAGGTACACACCTGTAATCCCAGCTCTGGAGACGCTGAGACAGGAGGATCACTGAGTCCAAGCTGCATAGCGAGACCTGTACCAAATAAATAAAAAACCAAGACCAGGCCTGGTGGTGCATACCTGTAATCCCAGTGCTGAGGAGGCTAAAAATAGGATCACTACAAGTCTGAGCTGTGTACCAATAGAGGGAAAGAAGGAAGGAATTTGTTTTTTAAAATAAAGTTATAGGGGCCGGGGAGATAGCTCAGTAG